CATCGTTTAAAATTTCAAAGAGAAAAAATTTGCCGATTTTAGATTTTTTTTCCAAGATATTTCAAGCTTTTTCAAAAATTCTAGCGAATGTTTCTCAACACCTACTTGACCAAATTTAATGAACTTTTTTTTGTTCAATTTTACAAATATATAGAATCAAAATAAAAAATTTTACCAAATTTGATTGAGTGGTTACTGAGAAATCGTTGCTAGAAGTTTAAAGAAATTGAATGTTTTGGCTTCGAAATTAGATCGGAAAGGATCTACAGTGATCTTCAGCCCGGGATTTTCTTGACATAAGGAAACCCAAAAAACCAGGGGTTGGCCTTTAACCTATATTATACGGTTAATGATCAAATTGCCATTTTAAAAATTTTATAATCATTTAGTAAGCCTCACATAGATATAAACAAATACCATATAAGTATAAAGCTTGCGGGCATTATTTTGAAAATCGGGATAACTTGTGGGTTTACTAATTTTCCCCACCACTTCACTATCAGAATATACTATAAAATTGATTAATAGCACAGATACTCCAATATGTTAATTAGTAGAACCAATCAGAAGTGGTGGGAAATTAGTAAACTCAATAACTTATATGGTCTCGAATTAGCGCTCATAGGCATCCTGAATTAACGCACATCCTAATGACGCACATCCTAATGTAGCACGCAATTCTTGAATATGTGCCAGGTTGGTGGCGCACAAGCCACAAATGACCAATGATTACGTGAGAATTTCAAAACGAATAACTTATGATACCAATAATTTTATTTAAAAAATTTACAAACGAAAGTTAAATTATTAAATTTTTTTGCATTAAACTTTTAAAGTACTTAAATAAATTGCATTAAATCCTTTTATTATTTAATATTATTAAACGACAAATTGCGAAAGTAGAAAGTTGATTATATCTATTTTCAATTTAATTGATTTTTCTGAATGTTTTTGTCTAGATTATGTTCCTTCTTACTAAGCTTTCTTTTCTTCCTACTTGGAATAACTTGAGGATCAAGATTTTCTTTGCTCTTCTTGACTTTAGTATGTAATCTTCATCTGCCACCAGAACTTTCAGAGCTGCGCCGCTTGGTAAACTCAACTTGAACACGAATCATAGCACCACTTTTAATTCGAGTTTGATCTGTATTACTATTGCTATGAAGGAAGGAAGTTAATCAGGCAAATGAAATTGCTTTTGATGCATAATATTCTTTGGTAAATTTTTCCAATGCAACACGAAATTGTGGACCACCATTTTGATAATCATTACTAATTTTTTCCAGAAATGTATTAAGCATATTATTGTCGAATTCTTCGCTTATTTGATTTGGCTTACTTTAAAAAATAATGTAAAATTAGCGTTATATTTACTAATAATATTATTTTAAGAAACAATACAAACCTCTGTTCATAATCTAAAGGTTTTAATAAATTTTCATTAGATAGTTTTGTCTCTTGCAAATATTCTTGTAAAATAGATTCTGTATGCAATGAGACATAAAAAGAACTGTCCTTTGTAACTTGACCTAACAAATAATAAAGAATTTTTTGAATTATATTATGCTTTATGCTATCACGTATTATAAGCTATCTTACCAAATGCAATATATGTGAATACCATACGATCATTAGGTGTTAGTAAAGGCAGAAAATTTAATATTCGTATATGAAATTTCATTGCAACTGCGCCTTGATGTTTGCAAGGCGCACCATTCATACCAATAGAACATGTACATATTCCAATCTCACTGTTTACAATATAAAAAATATTAGTTTGACTTGTACTTATTACTGAAAATTCATTTTCCACACTCGTTTGTTGAACAAAGTTTATATCCACTTGCTCCCAACCGGGGCATAAAAATCATTTTGCAACTCGAAAATGATCAGAACGTTTATGTGCATAGCTAAATAATCGTCGGCGATAAAAATTTTCCATGTTTAATATTATAAACTGAAATATTTGTACAGGGTTATATGCCTGTGTTCTTGCAAAGACAATGTCTTTTAGTATTCCAAATTCACATTCAACATAATTGTTGGTGTTGTTCCCACAAATAAGCAAGTTTGTATGAAATGCCAATGCCCAAAATTGGCGACGATTCCACAGAAGTTCAAAGTGTCTTTGTAGTAATGGATATAATTGATAAAAATCTCACTTAAATTTATAATAATATTGATCTATTTGTAAAAAATTAGGTGCATAAAGAATCTTTTTCATTTTATTCATAATAGATATTCTATTATCCTTAATGATCTGGTGCTTTGAATTGTAAATCCATCGCCAAAAGGCTTGTAAAATGTGAAACGTATACAATAGTCGAATCCCCTGTAGCTAACAAAGTTCTAATGCATTACGTTCAGCACTTGAGTCATCTATAAGTATAACTGCTGGCCCTATTAATGGTCCATGTCTATAGAATACATTTTGTGGAAGAATTGTTTTAAGCAAGTTTAACTAAAAATATTTATTTTCAATTATTATATTATTAATAAATAAACTTATTTATAAATATATATTAACATATCAATTACCACTTTCTCTAAAGTAACTTCAAATTCATCTGAAGTTATAAGTAATCCAAGAGGTAAAGCGCCAATAGTACAACTTGTAAATAGTAAGGTAATTGAGGTATTAAGTTGGTCGAATGATGCTAATGAATCCATATAACATAATTTGCCTGATTGTTGAATCTTTTCATATACTCGATGCATTAACCCAGTTACGATACAAAGAATAAATGCTTTTCCAGTATATGCATTATATTCTTGTAATGCTGCTTGACCATTTCCTGAATTGTTATATTCATTAACTAGTTCTGTTAAACGATTAAACATTTCTGTACTATTGCGGTTTCCTAGTGTAGTTTTATGATATTGATAAAATAATCTAGCTACATAATTGTAGTCTGGATTGCTAAATCGGTCTGCAAGCAATTCAACTAATTCATTATCATTTGAGGCACTAAGATGGATTTCATCTTCATAAGTATAAAGTGCTGATGTAGGTGAATATCCATCATTAAATAATTTTAAATATTTTTCTCGCACATCATTATTTACTCGTCGAAAACTTAATGATTTTGCAGAATCAATAATATGATTATGTGTGAATCTAATATTTATTTCTAAAGGATGACTATGTTCAAGGCACCATCTTTCTAATCGAAGGTGAATGTTTGTATCACAGTTTATGTTTTGTACATGTGATGACTGTGGTTTCTTTGTTTCACAACTACCTTGTTTTTTTTTTAACCTCATTGCTATGTACACAATGCTGCCTTTCCCAAAAGAGTACTTTATTTCCTTTTACAACATAACCTTTGGTTTGTGGCATTGTTGTCTTTGAGTATAACTCAAAGGCTTGAAACCATTCTTGCGCTTTTTTTTTATCATTAACATTCACAAACCCATCAAATTCTAATTGCGATACTTCAAAGTTTTCAGTAGTTTGATATAATAGTAATTCTTTAAAATTTTTTATTATATATATATTGTTGAGGAAGCACAGGTTTTAACATTTCTGGTAAAGCATTCTAGGTAAGTGTTTAAAATAATTGTTTTTTTTTAAAAAAATCATTTTATCGATAAATAAATAAATAAATAAATAGATGAATTTATTTTTTTTTCATTTAAAAAAATATATTAATTTGTTTAAGAGTAGGGTGAACGTAGATCATTTCTTATATAAGTAGATCAACCAAAAAAATATTACACAAAAATCAAGCACATGTTATATATAAAAGTTTTTAAAAATATAACTAATTTTTATAAAAGTTTTAGGGTAGATAGATTAGACCCTTCAAATTCTAATTATAATAATTGAACCCCTGTATTATTTAAAAAAAACATACTTGCATGTATCATTAATTCTTCCTAGGTTGATCAAAATTTGTCTAGGTTACACAATATAAATATTATATGATTATCACCTGATTTCAATTAAATGTTATTGTAAAAAAAATTAGTAATGTGATCACTAGTAAAAATGATCGACGTTCACCCTACCCTTAAAGAAATATATTATTGATTCGTTTAAAAAAAGTCTTTCATACCATTTTTATGAATCTTTAAATAGCGATAATAAAAATAATGCAGTGTTATGCTCGAAAAGTATAGATCAATATACCGATTTGGTTAATTTTTGAACGAAAAAAAGAAAGTCGGTTAAAAAGAAATTTATATTTATTATTATAATTAAACCTTAATTACGTACGTACGTACGTACGCAGTATGTACGTAAAAATTTATTTATTTGACTCAAGTGATTAGTTATTTACAGATTTTTGTCATATTTGCGTAATTTGATTAGTTTGATCGGAGACATGATCGGTACTGTGCCACCAACCTGGCACACATTCAAGAATTGCGATATAGCATGGAAATGACGTAAGGAGAGAATAAAGGAACCAAAAATTCCGAAATGAATATAAAAGACGAGCAAGGTTGAGAGCAAAGCTCAGCAAAGCTCCAAGAGTTCCGAGGTAGTAGAGATATTAATCTTAACTGGTTGGCAACCGGTTGAATTAAATAATTCGGTTCGGTTAACCGATTAAGGAAATTTTTTTCAGTTCAAATCACTAGTTCAGGAGTTGTCCAATAATATCGAATTCAGGTGTGTTCAGTAGGTGTAACCTTTGAGCGGTTGACAATTTTAAGCGCGAGATATCGATATATTTGGAAGTAGTATTTTTTCACTCCTGAAGAATGTCATTAGCCGAAGAGGAGGAGCTTCAAATCGAAAGCAAATATACAAAAGAAAAAAAAATAGGAGAAGGAACTTATGCGAAGGTTTACAAAGGTATTATATCGCGTTCTCTTTTAAATTTCTAAAAAAGCAATATTTGATTTATTAAGCTTACTGGGTTTAGGGAAAGATCGTGAAACTGGACGTGCAGTCGCTATTAAAAAGATTAAACTCGTACAAACAGAAATAGGGTTTCAGGGGATAGAAATATCAGCAGTCAGGGAGGTAAAAGTTTTACGAGAATTAAGGCATCCTAATATCATCGAGGTTTGTTTGTTACTTTACAGGAGTATTATTATTATTCTTTTCTCAACTATTACTAATATAATTTTAATTTACATATCAAATACATTTACAGTTAATTGATATATATTCACATCAAACAAATTTACAACTTGTTTTGGAATATCTAGATTCTGATTTAGAAATGATAATAAAAGATAAGAGTCTTGTATTTATATCAGCAGATATCAAAAGTTGGATGTTGATGACTTTGCGTGGGTTGCATCATTGTCATCGAAACTGGATTTTACATCGTGTAAGCTCAGTTAATACATTATATTTATATAAATAAAATTATATATTCATTTTTGCATCTTGATTCGGTTTAATCTTAGGATATGAAACCTAACAATTTACTTGTTGGTAGAGAAGGACAATTAAAACTTGCAGACTTTGGTTTGGCGCGAGATTTTGCAGAACCACGTATTAAAACCATGTCACCACAAGTTGTTACTAGGTATTTCCTATTATATATATTTCGAATATGTTTGTTGTAGGTGGAAACGGAATTTAAGTGGATTTGGAATTTTATATAAAAAAAACCATTTCATCATATGTACATACTTTAAATTCGATATTTGGATATACTCATATGGCTAAAATTTCGTGCTGAAAACTTTTGTTTAGAAGTCATAGTAAA